CACCATTTTTTAAAGATGAAAGCAAATCTGTATATTGATGAGATGGATGAGTTTGTTTATTTTTACATAAAGAATTAAATCTTGCCTGAAATTTGATATGGAAGGACATAGAACATCTTCAATATTTTTCGGAGTTTATCAATATCTTGATTTTATAATCATCAATGCTGAGAATATCACTTTGGTGTAGTATATGTAGTAAAAAATGACAGAATTATGTTTAGGGTCATTTTAGAAATTGTTGGAAATTCTGTCCTAATCCCAAGACAAAATTCATATAATGATTTGTTGGGGCGTTTTGTTTTGTGATTGTTTGTTTTTCTGGACAGGGTCTCCCTGCAGCCCCAACTGACCTGGAACTTGCTATGTAGACCAGGCTGGCTTCGATCTCACAGAGATCTACCTGCCTCTCTTCCTGAGTGGTGGGATTAAAGGTGTGTGTACCACCATGACTGATCTTAATGCAACTTTTAAAATCAAACATTCTAACATGATCCAATTCAACTGTCTCCTATTTGATATTTACATGCTGAGGGAAGACAGTAAGACAATATTAAGTCTTTGTTTTCAATAATTAAAGCTTATGTTTCAATATGAGCAGAAAGCAATGTATATTCAGTAAAAACACTGCAATTCCCAATGTACGAGTCTCAAATCAGAGCTGAGGTGTTTCCAGTGGTGCTCCCTGGATTCCTGTGATGTGATGGCCATGCGGTGCAAAGTGCATGAGCCAAGGCTGCAGTAAAGGTTCCTGCAGTATGGGTGGGCACTGCCAGGAACACCTCAGATACTCTATGCTGACTTACTTTTTGGTTGTTGCATGTTTAGGAACCTTTTACTATGGCCAAATTTTTGTCATTGCCTCATTCAGTTGACAACCCCATATGGAGTCACAACACACAGATTAGGGAGCTGGGGCCTATGTAGGTTGGTATCTCTGCCTGCCTAACTGATCCATGACTTCTGGCCATCTCTTCCTCCCCACTGGCCTGTGGGATCCATGAAGGTAGAAACTGTCTTTCTTGGTCCTTGTCGTGTCTCCAAGGCTAGCAAAGTACCCTGGGGTACTGGAGATCCGTGAAAGAATGACTGAGTCTCCAGGAGTTTGGAAAGTGCAGGCTTTCTGTTCCCTTGGCTGGTTTGGGGGAACCTCTGCCTGGCTTACCTCTTGCATTATCAGCTATATGGATGGCTGGTCCAATTAGCCTGGGCAATGAGCAGGAAAGACAGACAGGGAGGTTGAGGTGGGAAAAGGCAGAGGGACATCCTACTTTATGAAGCCAGAGAACCTGTAAAAGGAGGGTCCTTCCAGCAGAGGGCCAGGGATGAGAAAGAAAAGTGGGGATTCCCAGGCAGAAGCAGAAGGGCCAGGGCTGTGCAGGTCAGCAAGGTTCCCCTACACTCCACCGTGGCCCCTCCAGTGCCTGCCTGTCTTGTGCTAGCTGTCCGCTAGCATGAGGTTCAAGCGCTCACAAACCAACCTTCCTCCTTCTCTCATCTCCCTCTCCTCTGTCTTAGCCACCCCTTGAGGCCCACCAGAGCAGAATGCTCTGCTCCAGGGGGCTTGGCCTCAAGTGCAGCCTCTCCCCAAGCCTAGCACCTCTTTCATCCTTTAGGTCCCAGTCAGCCAGGGTTGGTGTCTGTGGCAACATTCCCCCTGCTGGCCCTGCCCTAATCCTGGTCCCAGAGGGTCCAGACCCTGGTGCTTCCAGAAGCCCTGCTTGGACAGCAAGCTGCCATCCCCAGTGGCAGCCTGGGCAAGGACAGCCCAATCAGCACAGGAGGGAAGACAGCATGCTAGTAAACTGTCTACTGTGCACCTGCAGTGGAAGGGGGCTTGCCTGGCCTTTAAACAGATACCACGTCCTGTACCTGGCTAAACACCCAGACCTTGCCTCAATTTCTTTTTTACAATTATTATTATTTTTATTTTATGTATGAGTGTATTGCCTGCATGTGTGTAAGTG